TTATTAATCTCTGTCTCTCTTCCACAGCATGTCTTTCATCCTGTCTTCCTTCTCTCACCCCAACCAGTTGCAGCAGATGGCCGCCCCTCCCTGAGCCTTTTTCTGCCAGAGGTTTCTTCCTGTTAAAAGGGAGTTTTTCCTTCCCACTGTCACCAAAGTGCTTGCTCATAGGGGGTCATATGATTGTTGTGTTTTTCTCTGTACGTATTATTGTAGGGTCTACCTTACAATATAAACCGCTTTGAGGCTATTGTTGTGATTTGGCGCTGTATAAATAAAATTGAATTGAATAAGTATAAATGTAGTCAAAATAATCCTTGCCTTCAAGATAAACAAAGTTCCTGGGAGATAAACTGAATTTTGTAATCTGTCTAATAGTACATTACAATTTCCACTGTAGAAAAACTACTCAAGTTGTTATTTGTTTCTGATTGGTTCATTGGTTTACTTTTTCCCTCCAAATGAGTGAGACACGGAAATGATAAGAAACTCCTGCTTACTTATACTGGATTAAGAAAAAAAAAAACCACATTAAAACTATAACACTCAGTAACAAAGCTTTGACACTGTGAGCACAAAGAAATGTTTCTGAAGCAGCACAAATGTGTAACACTTAAACTGAGAAATCCACTTTCATTTACCAAAAAACACACCAACATCACTACATTTCACACATTTATAGACATCCACACATTAAGCTGATCTTTATTAATAAGAAATAAGTAATTTGCATCAGTGCCCAAATAATTTGTCACTTTGTACTTTTTAAATTTCACTGTTACATGGTCACTACGTAGAGAGCTGCAAATGATTCAGATCAGAATACATTTTCTCAAATGTTTGTTATTAGTTAATTTATTCCCTATTTCTCTCCAGACCTTCACCAGCAGAGTGTCCGTGAAGAGGAGGCGGTCACCAGAGAGAAGCAGGTCTGTAACCAGGAGAGGAACTCCAGTCTGGACCAGGAGGACCCAGAGCCTCCACAGATTAAAGAGGAACAGGAGGAACTCTGCAGGAGTCAGGAGGAAGAGCAGCTTGGACTGAAGCAGGAGACTGATACTTTCATGGAGACTCCGACTTATGGGGAAAGTGACCACAGTGAACCAGAACCAAACAGTGAGCAGTTCATTTCTCACATCTCTCCTGAAGCAGAGAGCCGAGATCATGACGAAAGCCAGCGTGTGGACTCAGGATCAGCTAGAAATGCAAAGCTGAAAAAGAATAGATATGACAGAAAGAGAAGTCACAGTCAGAGAGTAAACAACACTTCTGTGTCAGAGAGTCAGAGTAAACCTCAGAACAGGCATAAGCATCTGATATGTGACATATGTGGAAAGCTTTGTCAAAGGAAATCCAAATTGATTAGACATCAGAGAATTCACACAGGTGAGAGACCGCATTCCTGTAACACCTGTGGGAAAAGATTCATTCAGAAATCACATTTGAGTAGTCATGTAAAAATTCACACAGATGAGAAGCCACATCTTTGCAGGACCTGTGGAAAAAGATTCAAACTAAACTCTGCATTGCAACGTCATGTAAGAATTCACACAGGTGAGAAACCGTATTCCTGTAGCAGCTGTGGGAAAAGATATAAGCGGCTTGAACAGGTAAAGACTCACATGAAAATTCATGCTGTTTAAAGTGTCTTCCTCAGAAAATGTGTTGTGATTCGTCATACATCTTTTTGACAGATGGAGGTTCTGCTGTTTTCTTTTTCTTTTTCTTTTGTTATGGAGCTCCATTAATCCATTTACACACACACTTATCTCAGAGTGAACTCAGCTGACTGAACTTACTCGGATCAGCTGCACTGGAACTGAAAACTCAGAATTGCTGATGTCAAAATTAATCAGCTCTTGAATATGCTTCCCAGAATAGGGCAGTTTATTACCTCATTATTATATAGTCAGGGGAAAAAAACCTTTTGAACCTTTGCTGAAATTGTAAGTCTGCCCGCTAACAAAGGAATTATCAGTCTATAAATCCAATGGTAGGTTTATTTGAACAGTGATAGAAGAACAACAACACCGAAAATCCAGAAAAATGCAAAAAAAAGTTATAGATCAATTTGCACGTTCATGAATGAAATAAATATTTGGTCCCTTTGCAAAACATGCTGTAGTGCTTGGTGGCAAAACCTTTGTTTGCAATCACAGAGGTCTGATGTGTCTTGTGTTGCACATATCTCAGTGGGGATTTTGTCCCACTCTTCATTGCAGATCCTCTGAGTAATTAATGTTTCATGGCATCTCGAACCTTCAGCTCCTTCCACAGATTTTTCTATGGGATTAAGGTCGCTAAGCCAATCCTTTGTAGCCTTGACCATGTGTTTTGGATCACTGTCATGCTGGAATACCCACTAACAACCCATTCTCAGTGCCCTGGCTGAGAGAAGGAGGTTCTCAACCAAGATTTGACAGTACATGGCCCCTCCCATCCTCTCTTAAATGCGGTGCAGTTGTCCTGTCCCCCTGGCAGAAAAACACCCCCAAAGCACAATGTTCCCACCTCAATGTTTAACATTGGGGACGGTGTTCTTGGAGTTATAGACCATATAGTTTTAGGCCGTATGTTGTTTTATGTTTTTATCTTCTGTTTTTATTGCCTGTTTCTATTGTAAAGGACTTTGTAGTTTTTCACCTGTGAAAGGTAATGTATAAATAAAGTTTGTTTACTTACCTTGTTTCCGATGTTGTTTTATATACTGTAAATGCAGAAATTGATGTTTTGACCCTTTTGGATAAACATGCCTCATTCCATATCGTTGTTCCAGTTTACCTTTCTTCTTTGTTTGAAAAAAAACAAACCATGGCCTTATAGAGAATGATACTAGGATTCACTGATCAGAATATGGCCTTCCAGTAGAAATGACTACATAGACACACTAACACTTATAAAGTCTCAAAAAAGTATATATTTCAGTTTCAATTTTATTTCTATAGCACATTTAACATCAAATTGCTTCACACAATTGCTGTGTTGCAGGATTACAACAATAGAAGAACAAAGAAAATACAGTTATCATTACAAAATTGTTAGAGGTAAGTGGCGTGGCACAAGCGCGAACTGGGTGGAAGTTAAAATCTAATTTGTTTCGAAGGCTAGCTTAAACAGGTGGGTTTTTAAACGTGATTTGAAAGACTGAATGGATTCCGACGCACAGACATCAATCAGCAGGCTATTACAAAGTTTAGGTGCAGCAATAGCAAAAGCACAATCCTCCCTAGTCTTCTGTCGGGACATTGGTTGCAGTAAGAGCGATTGATTAGAGGATCTAAGTGCTCTCTTGGGGGGTATATAGGTCAAGGAGGTCAATTAAGTAGCTGGGCGCCAAGTTATTTAAAATTTTAAAAGTGTACAAAAGGATTTTAAAAACGATACGGTATTTGACGGGGAGCCATTGAAGGTTGGCTAAGACAGGTGTAATATGATCATGTCTTCTGGTGCCGCTTAAAAGACGTGCTGTGGCATTCTGGACTAGTTGCAGGCATGGGATGAGGGAAAGTTGGAGGCCTAGATGAAGACAATGTTCAGATTTTCACTGGGAGTGAGCGAGTACATCAGAGAGCCAGTCTGGAGAGAGAGAGAGTGAGTAACGTCTTAAATGATTAGACTAATTTCCAAAGAATCAGTGGTACCTCATTTTGAAAATAAAGCCTCATCCCTTCATCATTGTACCAAAGTTCAGAAGTTTTTACTGCAAAGTTGTTGAGGACGAAAGAAGAAGAGGAGGACAAAAAGTAGAAATGTGACAAAGAAGCTGACTTTGCTGCTCGGCCTGTTACACTTTGTGATTCAGCATATTAAACACAAAATATCATTAGCAGTAATTAAAGGAGCCAATAAATGTGTAGATTATGTTTCAATACAATGAGAATTGTCTGTTTTGCATAACATAATTTAAACCTTTGGTTTTAAGTTTTTTTTTTACAACCATGATGTAGGATACAACAGAAATAGTGCTCATAGTTAGGAATAAAAATCTCCAGAGAAAACACACACATACAAAATACATTCATGACATAATGTAGGAGATCACATACAGCAATAATACTCACTGTTACCTGCATGTAACACAGCAAAAGCTGAATTTAAAACCATAAAATGGATACTAAATGGTAATACGCATTTCTGCTAAACAAGAGCACTACGTGTATATTATACCATTTAATATAAATTTTTTGTATTTAATTTAATTTAATTTAAAGTTATTATAGAAGGGACAGACATGACTGGGGGATAGGAAAGAAAGAAAGAGAGGGAAAGATAAACAGAGGGGAAGAGGGGCAGTGAGAGAGGACATTTAAAAAAGAAGAAAAAAATCACCTGGATCACCTATTTAGGGAAAAAAAAAAGAGAAAACATAAAAAAACATAAAAAAGAGCAACACAATAAACACAACATCATTGCAATAACCTAAATAAATGTAA